CTTTTTTACCGAAAAGAAGAAGAGAGGCCAAACGCTTTACTATTTATATGAATAATATAGAAATTGAATTGACTCATCAAATCTTTTAATATATAGTATAATCATTTTTAGGAATTCTTTGTCCATATATATATATATATATTCTTAAGAATGTAGACATTGTATCTTTTGCTTGATATAATAAATTTTGAGATTTTGGCCTAATTTTCTTATTGGCATGGTATCTATAACAAGAGTAGTTTAATATAAATTAAAATGTATTTTATGATTATTACTAAGCAGAGCAAAACTTGATATGGTTTGAGTTTTATATTAAACTAAATTTAAAGCTAATCTAGTTAAACTTAATTAACTTATCAAATCAAAACCAAACGTTATCAAAACTAAGATAAGATCTAGTTTCATTTTTTTTCTAATTCTTTTTTTTTAAATGACTTGTTTAATTTTTTTAAAAAATATTAATATGATACTGTTTTGAATTGACTCACCTGACTTATAACTCAAATCTTAAATTTAATTACGAGTCATACTAGATTTTACAACTATAGTCACTGCTAAAAAGTAGATATTGGTTTTACCACATATAAACTAAACCTAGTAGCTTAAATAAATCCTTATGCCGACTGTTCAAGTTTGATAATTGTTGGATACCCTTTCCACGGTCCATAATCTATTGAGGATGAAAGTTTGGTATGGAAAAGATAATGTTATTAATACCCATCACTATGTGGGTGACCGTTCTCAAGGCTTAGGCTTCGAAGTTTGGTAGACGAAGAATGGACTTGGTTAATATTTCATGAAATGGTTGAGATTTGGGAGGCTATCCCAAGGGGGGTCTTTATTGGGTTTTCAAAAAACGAAAACACAATCATAGACACATGATTTTCTCTTCAGGACTTTGCATGCATCTTTGAAGTGCCTTGGGCACAGCTTACAAGAGTAAAAGATGGTGTAAAAAAAAAAATGAAGACCCGTGAGCAAAAAGTAGTCAAATTAGTAACCCCAAGTCCAACCTACCTCATAACCTCTAAATTCACACCTCATGAAGCTGTGATTATGCATTGTTTATTGCCAAAATAAGAACTCTTCATGTGAATGGCATTAATCATTAGTAGAAAATTTTGGGTGGAAGAAAATTTGTTTGTGCTGTCCTATGTATGCTTAAAGTGGTTTGTTCAGGTCATAAACAATAGTCAACCAAAGTCCCAAACAAGACTTTAGAGGTTCATAACGATGTCACACTCAAGTGTCTGTATCAAGTCATGAAAAGGGCCATTTACTTAATTCCTTGCCCTTCTCAAAATATTTTAATTTTTCTGCTACAGTTATTTGCTCAAACTGCCAGCATTTATCAATGTCCTTAAAAGGAATGGTTCCAAGTGTTGGTTTAACTGCCATGACTTCATGTGATACCGTAACTTTCAAAGTTGTTTTCTTTTAATTTTTTTTAATCTCAAATTATAGTAAAAATCTAGGTATTTGTAATTTTTTTAAATAATAACAACAAAAACTATTATAATACTAAATACACACTAGAATTTCATTTAATAATGATTCTAGAATGCATTTTAAAGCATTTATCAAAATACATTTGAATTGAAAAAAATATTATATTAAATTATTTTTAATGTTTTTGAATATGTAATTAAATTATTTTTAATGTTTTTGAATATGTCAAGATTGAAAAAATTAAAAGACATTTCAATCTTTTTAAAAAGAATATTTACACTAACATACGATTAAAAAAAAAAAGAAATCTTCTATGTAAACATTCTTATATATTAGTGTAGGCAATAAACATAATATATATATATATATATCTCCTTTCGTGTGGACAACAAATCACATTCTTAAAATAAGAATATAAACGAAGTGACTGTTCAAAAAGATTAATTTTTGTTTAAATGCGAGAGACTTGTCAGGGGGTGCCACGCCTTTTGACCTTTACACTTCACTAGAAAAGACATTCCCAGAAATAGATATCCGGAGCATGGCCATCTGCTTTCTAACAATCAAAATTCGAAAACTTTTTTTATTATTATTAATTAAAGAAAATCATATAGCTGGCAGCCTAGTTAATAATTCATTTGAGATACATATTT